TCTGTCAAAGTAGCTTTTTTTACTCCTCTTTTCTTTCTTTGATGCATGGCTGCTAACGTTGCATTGTTTTGATTCTCCAAATTCTATGTACTTTTTGTGCCTTATAGAGCCCTCAGATAGTTGTTCTTTGTATTTTGTTAAGGGATGTAGGTGTTGTTTGTAGAAAGATTTCTTTTTTTCTAAGTTCATAGTCCTTGATACCAGAAGTCACTATTTCTTAAATTGGGCACTTCATAGGATCAATCAGATTTAAAAGAAGAAATCGAAGTCAGAAGTGGTTAAGAAAAAATTTGTGAAGCAAGTATTTAGCTAAGCTTTACAAATAGGTTTATGTTCTCATATGAAACATTTAGTCAACTGCCTAATTTTTGTATTTCTTAGAGTAAATAGAGGTGTATAGTTTCTGTAATGAGCCATATGGAAGTGAAGTTTCTATTTATGGTATTTTCTAGTTATAAAGTAGATGGTGGCTTATAGCAACAATATAGATAGTGTTTTATATTTTAGCAGATATGGCTCTAATTTTATGTGTTTTCATGATTTATTATGATAAATAATAAAATTTTTCATGATTACCTACACATGTAGTTCCTAAAACTCATTCAGTATTTTTGAGCAGTATTTTTCTAACTGTAAATAGCCTGAAATATTAGTGGTTTAGAGGATTTTCAAATAGCATTTTCAAAATGAAACATAATGAAACTTGTTAAAGAACATACCTCCAGGTAAAAATTATTCTGTGGAACTTCGGGGCATATATGCCTGTTTGCAACATAAAAAGTATTTCTTACTGTGTTGTTTGATCCAAACAGTGGCTTCTGTTTTAGAGCACCCCACTAGTTAAAATATGGTATGAAACTTTACATTTTCTTTTTCCATTTAAAAGGGTTAATAGAATTATAATTTTGGCTGATTCTGTGTGGTTTGGAATTGTGGTTTACAAAGCACTTATGAAAATTTAAGTTTACATTGAGGCCATTACATGGAAATATGAGAGAGAATGAAGTCGTATATATGTATTTAAATCATATTTTGAACTGACATATTAGTAACATTGTCAGGTAAGAAGTAATGTTAGTGAGATGTGTAAGAACTATCATTTAGGGGCACCTGGGTGGCTCAGTCGTTGAGCATCAGGTCATGATTCCGTCCTGCTTCTCCCTCTGCCTATGTCTCTGCCTCTCTCTCTGTGTCTCTCATAAATAAACAAACAAACAAACAAATAAGATCTTAAAAAAAGAACTATCCTTTAAACAGTTTGACTTGGGCTGAAACACCTTAAAAATATCAGTGTCTTATTTTTTTTGTGTTTTATGTTATTTTGGTGACATTTATTTTCTATTTTATTTTTTAAAAAAGATTTATTGATTTATTTATTCATGAGAGATAGAGAGAGATGCAGAGATAGGCAGAAGCAGATGCAGGCTCCATGCAGGGAGCCAATGTTGGACTTGATCCAGGGACTACAGGATCATGCACTGAGACAAAGGCAGACACTCAATCACTGAGCCACACAGGCATCCCCTAGGTGACATTTAAATCTAGGATGTTGATTAAGATATAAGGACTCTCAGATTTAAATCTGAGTGTGAAATAAAAGAAATATTAAAATGATTCCTGGTATTATAATGTATAAATGTCTGCTGTACATGAGGCAGAATTTTATTCTAAATAGAAGCATATATAGTCGAGCTAATGTAAGTCAAAATTGTACACTAGATTTTCTTATTTTATATTTAATTGAAATATTGGCAACTCTTGTATTTTTTAGTTATGAATCTCAATGGAATGATAATTCAATAGTATACTATACAGTTTTCACCCACAGTAGTATACTATACAATATCATCCCATTTTAAGTGGGATTTTGCTTATATTTCTATTACTAGTGCCTATTAGAGATATGGCCAATAATATAGCAGTGTGTTATAAACCATGTAAAGAGTGACTTCTTTCAAAACTTTTGTTTCTTAGGATATTTATGTTTTTGAAGTGTATGTGTCAATTATTTTTTATAATGGTTCTCAATTTTTCTTTGTCTCCTAGTTTCACTGAAAAGGGTTTATTTGTTTTCCTATTATTACTCTGTGTAGTTGTTAAGTATTCTTTTATAGTTCTAGTTGTTCTTTCTGTATTCCCTCTTCATTTAAGGTTTCTGAATACTGATCATTTTCTAAGAAATTTTATGTGTGGGTGTGAGTATGTGCATATACATACGTATGGAACTTAGCAATTCTGTTTGCTTCTTAAATTACTCTTTAAAATGGACATGGAACAAAGATTTTTAAATCACAGTTTCATGGAAAAGGCTCTGGAATTTAAGAAAGGCAACCCACCAACTCTTTTAGTCATGACTCTTAAAAATTACCTTTCTTTCCTTGTGAGGATTCTTTGATTCATTTCCATTTCAGTTCAGTTCAACAGATACAGAATGTCTACTGTATTTAAGATACTGTAGAAAAAAATCAGGTAATCAAAAATGCCTTAAATTTATAATACTATTGGTAAGCCACTCTGGAAAACTGTGTGGAGGTTCCTCAAAGAGTTAAAAATAGAACTGCCCTATGACCCAACAATTGCACTGCTGGGGATTTACCCCAAAGATATAGATGCAGTGAAAAAACCGAGACACTTGCACCCCAAAGTTTATAGCAGCAATGTCCACAATAGCCAAACTGTGGAAGGAGCCTTCGTATCCCTCGAAAGATGAATGGATATAGAAGATGTGGTCTATGTATACAATGGAATATTACTCAGCCATTAGAAACGACAAATACCATTTGCTTCAACGTGGATAGAACTGGAGGGTATTATGCTGAGTGAAGTAAGTCAATCAGAGAAGGACAAACATTAGATGGTTTCACTCATTCGGGAAATATAAAAAAAAAAATAGTGAAAAGGATTAAAGGGGAAAGTAGAGAAAATGAGTGGGAAATACCAGAGAGGGTGACAGAACATGAGAGACTCCTAACTCTGGGAAACGAACAAGGGGTAATGGAAGGGGAGGTGGACGGGGTGTTGGGATGACTGGGTGACGGGCACTAAGGTGGGGCACTTGATGAGATTGAGCACTAGGTGTTATACTATATGTTGGCAAATTGAACTCTAATAAAAAAATACAAAAAAATGCTAATGAAGTAAACAAATATTACACTAACTTTAAATATTTGTGAAAATAAATTGTTGAACACTGCTGACCAAAAAAAAAAAAAATTATAATACTTTGCAGTTTCCAAAACACCTTTGAATATGCATTTTCTTAATTGTTATTACTAATAATTCAAGAAAGCAGATAGTTCACATAGATTAATTCCTATGAAGAAATTGAGGTCTTAAAAGACTGTGACTTAACCATGGTTCCATAACCCATAACTAGTGAATGACAGCTGAAGCTTGAACGAAAGCATAAGCTCAGTGCTGTTGTAAATTCTCCTTTACCACTGTTATGCAAAGACAAAGCATGCATTAATTTATGCAAATTATTGCCCATAATGAGGCTGTGTTTTAATTCATTCACTTAATATTTATTATAAGTGCTTCAAGGGCTAGGATAGGATCAGTAAAATAAGATCAAGACAGTATCTTATAGGTTCATGTGAGTATCTGGAAGGTACTTTTCAATTAAGACAGTGACATGTATCAAAATGCTTGGATTTATGAGAATGGTTATGGCATACTTTTTCTTATTTATTGGTAGATCTATTGCACATAACTGTTCAAAAGAGTGGTGGGCTGGTATTAGAGACTACACTTACTCTGATGTGTGTTAAAGATCAGTATGTTAAGGGTCCTTAACATACACCATTAAATTGTTGTTTTATTTCTGGTATTGTGGGCTATGTCTCTGCAACATCTTTCCTCTTTTTACCCATAACCCCTCAAAGGCTCAGTGCCAGAAAGAACAAAACCGTATCTTTATTTTGTCATCATATCCTCTCTCAAATAGATCATACTTTCATTGCTCTCTTTCCAATTTGGCTTTGAGTCACTGCTGTGATTCTAGCTGTTGAAGTCTTTCAACGTAGCAGTTAGTATTTTGGTCGAGTAAAAATTGTTGTGAGGTTGCCATTCTTACCAATGTAGTAAGTTAGTTTTACTCATTCAGTTATTAGAGCCATGTTGTCTGAGGCATATGACAATTGCATGTTACAGTCTTCCCTAAATATTGATACTTGAGACTTACTGGAAGTTAAATCTCAAAATTTATACTCATAGTTCTGAGATTAGAGAAACCAGTTGTCTATCGAGTTTAATAAAGCCACATTTGTGCTGTTTAATATTTTAAGAGGAAACTTAAACTGTTTTAGTCTGTCTTTACTACTTTTGCCCTACCTGATTAAGTTTTGCTATTATTATGTTAATTAATAAGTTCAAAGGAAATGTTCTAATTAGTTTCTGTCATAACCGGGAACCATAATAAGAGTACTTTGGAAAGCATGATAACACCTGCTCACTAATAAATATCATTTCTTTGTCTGGCTCTTTTCCAGTCTCACTAACTGTGTCTAAATGTGTGAACCTCTTACCATCTGGGTACTTCAATTTTCCTCTAAATTTAAACAAACAAAAAGTCTTACCTGTATTCTACCTAATGCAGAGTTTTGAAAGATAATGAGAGGTCATTAAAGTGTGAGTTAAAATCTCTTAACTATTTAAAAATCATTGGCTTTACATATATACTATCTTAAAATAGTAATTTACTATTTAAAAGCCATTGTCTCTTTAGTGTACTTCATTGCTTAGCCTAAGACCTCTATTTTTAGAATACAGCGTATTTGAAGACCATCTTTATTGTTGAATTTGACGGGTGTGGCACAAGGCCAGTGTTATGAGCCCAAAGGGAGAATTTGCAGAATATGCAGGTTGAAGGAGCCCGGGAACTGACTTTCCACAAAGTCCAGGTTATTCATGTTCATTCCCATGGATGGGAGATATGCTTAAAGTTGACCGTTGTCTTCCTTCTATACCATCTGATTCCAATCTGCACTTGTCTTTTCTAGCTTGAGACGGTCGAATGGCAGCTTAACCTTCAGATGGCTCACTCTGCTCAGGCGAAACTGAAATCTCCTCAGGCTGTATTACAGCTAGGAGTGAGCAATGAAGATTCAAAGGTAAGAAATGGTATCTCATTGAAACAGTGTATTTTGTTTACTGGGTCATGTACTTTATTGTTAGCAAGGTCTTTGCTCTCATGGTTGAAAATTTAAATACAATCAAATAAGGATTAACAAATTAACAGCTCTTTATAAGTGACAGTTTTTGATATCAGAATGATTTGTCACTTTAGTATTCATTTGAAGAAATGTCTTGCAAGGTGCCTTTCTTGCAAAAACATATCATAATGTCTCCTTTTAAATTCTGCAATAAGAAAACTTGGTAATGCCAGATACAAGATTTTAATGATTCAGATATTTGTGGATATTTCTGAGTGTTTTGTGTTTTAAGCTGCATACATATGCTAGAGGGACTATTGTTGTCTAACCAATGCCTAGATTATGAAGGTGGCATGAATTGTATTTGTATGTGTGTGTGTGTGTGTGTGTGTGTGTGTAGCACTTGTGTGCATGTGTTTAAATCCCTATTCTTGCAAAATGGAATTTCGGATTTGTTTTTTACCGCATGGTGATTTCTCCTTTAGTGTTAATTTCAGGAAGCTTGAACGTGTAATCTACTTGCAAGAGTTGGCATGGAATATTTTCTTTACTGTAGCATATAGAGAAATATATTTTAAGATATCAATAAAAGCTATTTGTTGTATTTTTATTGTAATTGATTCTCTTTCTAAGGGAGTGACTTCCCCCCCCAATGGAAGGAGACTTCGCCTCATGTTAAGACAAATAAAATAAAGATGAGAATGAGGTAGGAGGATCAGAGGCAGGAGAGATTACTCTGCCTGGATGTGATCAGAGGATGACGGGAGAAATGTTATTGTTTATAATGGACATTGAAGGATGGGATTATTATTACTTTTTTGTTAGAACTTTCATTATGTGTTATATCATGCACAGTTTTATTAACCATAAGAACTAGAACCAATACCTAGCCCACGTTCCATGTCTACAAAATTTTAGGCAATTGAGTTGGGTCTCACCACATATAATTAATTCACCACAGTGTTTCAAAAGTATTTCATTTCATACATTTGCAGTTAATAAATATAAATAATATGTAAAATAGTATAAATTTAGTGGTTAAGAGTTGAACTGACTAGTATACTGATATATGTTGAACTGACTAGTATACTGAATTTAGTAGCAGAGCTACTTAAATCTTTATGAGTGTTAGTGTCTTCCCTTGTAAAATGGGGATAATAATAACCTGTCTCACAAGGTTTTATATGAAGAGTAGATACCCATTGTATGTAGTGTTTTGTTGAATGCCTAATATTACGTAAATGCTCAAAAAAATGCAGGCTGCTTCCATCTTCATCATCATTATCATCAATAAAACTTTTTTTGGCTGCTGGATAAATAAATATCTTTGTTTTAAACTGAAGCTGACAATAAACTTTTTTCCTGATGGAGTTAATCTTTTCCCTTTCTTTGCCTTCTTTTCCCCTTTTATTTTTTGGTCATGTATTTTCATATTTAGGCTTACTGGGAATTGGGGAGGCAAAGGACAGCCTGGGAGGTCCTTCTTTTCTTTCCCTGAACTAGGGAAGGCATTCCTTTAGGTTTAGGATAATATCTGGACCTCACTGGTGTAGACTGGGACTGTTCTGAGTGAAAGCACATATATGCACCTGTGTATGTCATACATACCTACACAGATTCATATATACTCCAAGGGGCTGTACACTTTCACTGTTGTATTCTCATGACTACCATATATTATGTCTGAATAGCTAAATGTAAAATATAGGTGGGATGGATACTATTTTGACCATATACTGGGTACCTTGAGTATCACAGTTTGATACACAGTGCTTGACTTCGGGATGCATGAATCCTCCCAGGTCCCTTATTATGTCTTCAAAATGTTTCTATGGCAGTGATATTTTTAGGCAATAGGGAGGAATGAATCGTGCTTCTAGTAAAAGAGTCATGTTTTTAATTCATATTATTTAGAAAATCTCTACAGATGTAAAATTCACCTCTTTGGAAATAGAGGCTTGAGTACATTTGATGTTCCTGTGCATTGCTGGTTTGAAATTTTGAATGAATGTGTGGTTATCCTTATAACTTGTAGAGCCGGGGAACCATTTTCACTGGCAAACAGATCCTTGGGAAGAAGAGTGGCAGCACACAAAAGTAAAGGGTATTTTTATTTTGTATGCAGACTTACGTGAGCCTCTGTGTATTGCCTATCTTCCTTCCCTATAGCATTGTGGGGGTTTGGCCCATTTCTTCTATCTGCTAAACAGAAGACATTTAATGAAGTGTCTGCCCCCTATCGGCCTGGACAGACTCTTGCCATCTCCAAGTGATGTGTGTCCTAGCTCTAAGGAACACTTGACCAAGACATCTGTTCTTTCACCGAACTGCTGCTGGGAAGCTGTACTTTTTCCTTTGTTTACATTCTCTCTCTCTCTCTCTCTCTCTCTTTCTCTCTCTCTCTCTCTCATGATCTGGTACTCTATTCTTTGTACTTGAATGAGAGTTTGGGAATTCTTGACAGGTTGGAATATTAGGTGAAAGGAACAGGAATATGGAGCATATTTTCAAAACCAAGTTTGTTAAAAGAAGGGAGAGTTTTAATTTAAAGAACGACGAAAAGCTAAAACTGTTAGTTTATGATGCAAAGTATCATAGAATACAGTTGCCAGGGATCCCTGGGTGGCGCAGTGGTTTGGTACCTGCCTTTGGCCCGGGGCGCGATCCTGGAGACACTGGATCGAATCCCACGTCGGGCTCCCGGTGCATGGAGCCTGCTTCTCCCTCTGCCTGTGTCTCTGCCTCTCTCTCTCTCACTGTGTGCCTATCATAAATAAATAAAGATTTAAAAAAAAAAAAACTTTAAAAAAAAAAAAAGAATACAGTTGCCGTATTCTGAAATTGGCATTTGTTTAAAACAGGAAGCATTAAATAAAATTATTTTAAGTGAAGATGACACAAGGCAGTTATCCTGAAAATAGATGTGCATTTGAAATAATTCTGAGAGGATTAGAGTCAGTAAAAATTATGAGAAAGACTGTTTTTGATGTTTACTTTTGAGCTGTTGAAATGAAAACTTCCTGTAATTCACTGAAGTGTGCAGTTTCTAAGAGTCTTTCTTCTTATTCACTTCCAACATACACATGAAAAGTGTAGCCTGCAGTGAAGTTTTAATTGCTATCACATTAGATAGCATTGTTGTACTGGTCTCCTTTCTCTTGGAACGTTCTTGTCTCAGGGCTTTCCTGTTTTGCTACTAATTTTATCATGAAAACTGGGTGATTGTAGCTTTTCCTACAGTATTTTGATATATATTCTAGTTGTTTGCAGTTAATTGTCTTAGCGTTTGTCTACTGCATTTAGCAAAGTAAGATTATCTTCCTGTTCCAAGATAACTCAAAATGAGATTTTCTTTTTTTTTTTTTTTGGTTTATTTCATTAGAGGGCAGTAGAGCTCTTTGCTTACCTAACCTCTGGCATTTACAGTATTATTTGAAATAACATTCAAAATAATGTGTGAAGTCCGTAGTTGTGGGAAATGCTAAGTGTTCACATTTCTAATCGGTATATAACAATAGAGTTCTCTTGTTTCTATCAACAAAATTAATGCCTATTAATCAGATATGTACAGAACAAATAAATGAAATCATTATGATTCCATTGTTTGTTAATTTCTTTATGATTATTTGCCAAAATGAAATTTATTAAAAAGCCTTCAACACTGTTGATATTTTTGTTACATTCTGTCACTTCTATTAATTTCTTTATGAGAAAGGAGAACAAAATAATCCCCACGATAGTTGAATGGCTCTAATAACTTATATAGTATAACTAGTTCCAGGCTAATCATAGACAGTTGAAATGTCTTTGTGTAGAGAATAGCAATTTTATACTTAACAATGTTGGCATTTTTGAATATTCAAAGCACCTTAACTTTGAATACCCCAGAAACACTAAAATATTTAAATTTTGCTATTGAGTGAGCATTGTTGCATTTTCCCCAGTAACTTTGCAATGCCAAGACGATTGTGTTTTGTTAGTACAGTGGTTTTAAATTTTTTTGGTACGTCTTTTAAGAAAGAATTTTTGTATTTCAATCTTGTCTTCTTTTGAAACAACTGAGACAAAATTCGCCTTGAAGAGGAATGGTCATTTACCTTGATGTTAAGTTGGATTGTGCTCAGGTTGTACATGGTACTTTATGGATGGGCACTTACAATTTCGAGTGAATTAAGGACTTTCAGTACCAATTTTTTGAGTTAGAGATCTTTATTCTTTTTTCCAAAATGGATGGCAAATTCTATTGAGAGTGAAGAAAAAGTAGGGAAAGCCCTGTTTTAGTGCTCACTCTGTGCTAGCTACTCCTTTATTTAAAATACTTCTTTCAGGTGTGAATTCTTATTATTATCCTTATTTTATAGACAGAGGAATGGAAACACATACATGCTAAATTATTCTCTTAGGTTGTACAACTAAAAAAATTGTAGAACCAGAAACCAGACAGTTTTACCTCAGAGCTCTGTGCTTTATTCATTGCTGTTCTTTATTTATACTGTATCTTTTGCTTATTTAATAATTTAGAAACTGATCCTATAATATGCATATATATTTGAGGGTGCTGAAAGCTGTTCTTTTTTAAAATTAATTTATTTGAGAGAGTGTGCATGTATGCATGCAGGAACAGGAAGAGCAGAGGGAGAGGGACAGAGAATCCCAGGCAGACTCTGTGCTGAGTGTGGAGCCCAACATGGTGCTCCATCCCAGGACCCTGACATCATGACCTGAGTGGAAATCGAGAGTTGGATGTTTAACCCACTGCACCATCCAGGTGCTCTGAAAGCTGTTCTAATTGTTGGTTTTTGGTTCTCCAAAAAGTGATAGAGATATGGATTCTAAATTTCCTTTTCCTTTGATTAAGTTGAAATAATTTTACACTTTAAGTCAATGTGAGATATAACTGAACACTTTTACATAGTAAGTACAGTTATATGTTCTGATGTTTAGTAGAAGCTCCATTT